GGCCTCTAATCAGACGAGCGGCTCTTCTTTGGACCCTCTCCAGGTTGTCCGCATCCCGCCTGAACCACGGCGCCCAGAGCTGGACACAGTACTCCAGCTGCAGCCTGACCAGTGCCGTGTAGAGCGGGAGGATCACCTCCCTGGACCTGTTTGTGAAGCACCTACAGATGCACGACAAGGTGCGACTGGCTCTGCCGACTGCTTCATCACATTGATGACTCATGTTCATCCTGGAGTCTACAGTGACCCCAAGATCTCTTTGTGCCTCAGTGGAGCTGAGAAGATCGCCCCCCAGCCTATAGGTATGATGGCAGTTCTTCCTCCCTAGGTGCAGCACCTTGCACTTGTCCTTATTGAATTGCATCCTGTTGCTCTCTGCCCGCTTCCCCAGCCTGTCTAGGTCAGCCTGGACCTGGTTCCTCCTCTCCAGGGTGTTAGCTGCACCCCATATTTAAGTGTCATCCACGAATTTGGACAGGGTGTTTCCCACCCCCTCATCCTGATCACTGATGAAGATGTTGAACAGCGTCAGCCCCAGACCTGAGCCCTGGGGGACCCCACGGCCCACATCTTTCCAGTTTGGCACCGACCCGTCCACCACCACCCTCTGAGTGTGACCCCGGAGCCAGTTTGCTACCCAGTCTACCGTATGATCATCCATGGCAAGTCTCCTCAGTTTATTAATCAGGATGGTATGGGATACCGTGTCAAAGGCCTTCTTGAAGTCCAGATAGATAACATCCACCTTGACTCCTGCATCTAAACAATTGGTGGCCTTGTCGTGATATCTTCTGTTGGGCCAGGTGCAGATGTGTGAGAGATGTTAGGCAAGTTTTTAGGCACAAAATGCTCTTTCTTGGGTTGGAACGGAGCAGACACCCTGAGCTAAGTCACAGCAGCACTGTGACTTTAGTTTAACTCCATTTTATAAGTGGAAATAGATGGAGAGAGGTCAGTCAACCCATGATGGAGAGAGAAGTTAGCAGAAGTAGCCCCAAGAGAGGCAAGAAGCAGTTGGAATAAATGAACCCAATGTGGGTTTACAGTGGGAGCGGGTGGCTGGCAGGGACCCCCCAGCTATTGTCTGCATTTAGTCCTTGGTTTTTAGAGTCTGGTCAAGTTAGGGATTTTTATTCCCGGCTTTGAAAGGCCTGGGTCAGTTTTGCATGAGTACGAGGACTGCGTGATAGAGACACGGGTTCTGGGATGAGTTGGTCCAACTCGTGACTCGAGTTTCTCGCCACTGCTTTGTTGGGATTTTGGTGCAGCTTCCCCCTGGATTCCTGCTTCTCAGGCTGTGAGGCTGGCTCCCTACGAAGTCCCTGACTGCAGCCGTTCATTAGGCACGAGCTTTCCTGAGCTCAGAAGGCAGCAAAGGGCTTTGGGGATTGATGACAGGCAACCAGAGCACAGGGGATGCTTCAGACCTGCCTGGCTTGTGCATGGCTCAGATCAGAGGGCCGCTGTCCTGCAGCTGCAGGGCTGCATTTGAGAGGTCTCCCCGGCACGCAGACCCCGCAGGCGGCTAGTCCAGTGCATGCAATCTCCCTCCTTTGCCTGCTCCGGAGACCGCCCTCCACAACCTGTGCCTTGCAGTCACCTCGTGGTATTATTGCCCTCAGTGCAGACACACAACACACTTATCCCAGGGGAAGTTCCCTTTACTCTGGGATAGAAGCGAAGCAGGTTCCCAGTACTCGGCCGCACACCAGTGTGAATCCAGTCCACTCCGGGGCAAAGTTACGCTGGAGAAAAGGAAAAGTAACTGTACCCCGAGGTACCTGTCATGTGTCCGCTCCTCCGCGCCCTGCCAATGCGTGGTGCCTGCATGAGTGAGGCCTGGCTGCAAACTTCCTGCTGCTTCTAAAGCCCAGGCCCCAGTCGTGCTGTCCGTACAGCTGTCCGTCCATCCGGTCTGTCTGGGGTGCAGCCTGGACAGCCTGTGGGATCCAGGGCCCGGTCCTCTCGTGGCTCAGGGTTGCTCTTGTGCTGGCTAAAAGGGTGGGAGCCTCGTGACACCTCCCACGTATGGCTTCATACCCTCTGGCCCTGGATAGTAGATGCCAATGAGTCAGCCCTGGGGCTCTCCAGCAGGCCTCACGGCAGCAGCCAAGGCCCTGTCCTGCTCATCCATCTGTCTGTGGTGGGCAGGGGGCATTGGCAGAGCTCGGGCTGACATGCTGCTGGTGGTAGAGCGGCCCAATACCATGGCAAAGGGGGCCTGAGACAGTCCTGGGCAAGATGTCCCCCTGCCATGGGGTGCTAGAGTGCCACAGGGCCCCCAAATGCCCATGAGCTTCAGGGAGAGAGAGCAGGGGGAATGGAGATGCCCAGGGCCTTGCCCTCCTTCCATCATTCTTCCCACTTCTCAGATGGGGAAACTGAGGTTCAAAGGGACAGGGCCTTCCCTGAGCCACGGAGAGGTGGCATCAGAGCCAGGGCTGAGGCGCTGCCTGCCAGCTCTGTGCTCACGGCATTAGTGTCTCTGTCCCCAGCTTGGGCTAAGCCTGGTGAGGAGGGTAACCTCAGCTTCTGGCTGCCCCCCAGAGCCAACCAAGGAGGCCAAGACTGGTGGCACCCGGGGCCAGTCCCCTGGAGAGGCAGCCTCTACCTGGGGGAGCCGTGCCCCTGGGGACATTGCGAACAATGTGTTGAAAGATCTCAGGAGCGGTGGGGCACCAGCTGGGCGCAGGGAGCTCTTGGGGGGCAGCGGGGAAGTCTGTTGAACCTCTAGTATCTTTCTCATGCCATGGTGGGCATTAATGGGGTATCCTGGAGGGTGCCCAGTACTGCAGGAGCCCCAGCCAGAAGGCTGGACTACACGGTACACACATCCGCACAGCTGTTGCATCCATTGGGTCGCACACTCATGCACATGTGCACACACACACACACGCATGCACACACGCTGTCTCCCCCTCACCTGCCTGAGGCGGGCACGTGAAGCTCATTTCAGTCTCTCCGCCTGGCTGGATTCAGGTTGTGGCCAGGCCAGCTCCAAAAGGCCGCGTCCAGCCTCACCCCTCTGTCCCCCTGCCCCCAGGAGCACCGGCTGTGTCCCGTCCCCCCCCATTCCACTGCACACTTTATGATTTTGTTTGGTTCCCCTATTGAGTTTGGTTTGTGTTACTTTTCCCCATGTCATTTTTTGTTGGCGGGAGCCCTGGTTTCCAACCCGCTGGCACCGGGGCCTTCTGAGGAGACGTGAGCTCGAGGGCCTGCACCTTACGGGTCACTCACAATCCTCCAGCCTTTTCCAGCAAGGGCCAGTCACTCAGTTCCATCCCGAATGGGACAGTTGCCTTTTTCCAGTCTCAGGTCTCCTACGGTTTCAGTCTCTCCTGCTGTACAGAGTGGTTGGGGAAGCCTGTCAGCAATGATCGCTGTCAGTAGATCTCCCAGCTTTCTCAGAAGTGCCCCGTAAATGCAGCCATTCGGCCCAGGCAGGGCACTGTCAGCAGGCAGAGAGCGCCAGTGGTGCCAGAGCAGAGGGGCCCAAGGGAGCTGCCTGGAGTCACGCAGCAGGGACGGGTCGAGCCTCGGAAATAGACCCCAGACCCCAAGCATCGTGGGACCAGGCCCAGCAGAGGTTTAACTACACGTAGTGGGCATGGCCTGGGTGTGTAGGGCAAGAAGAGCAGAGAGACGGGGCAGACAGGGCCCTCTGGGTTCTGTTCCACCCGAAAAGCGTCTGATTCTGGTCCCCGCGCTCAAGTCCCTGAAAGGGATAATGCAAAAGGTGGGTAGGCTCCTCGCTGCTTTGCATGACTCGGTCATAAGGGTCAGGTGCCAGTGCGTTCCCACGGTCTGGATTTTCCAGGACCTGAATGTGACAGAATAGACTCGCACTAAGGGCCCTGGCACCTGTTACCTTTAGAGCATGATTCAGGTGTGAGATATGCCATAAATAGTCGCTCCGCCGCACGAGAAAGCCAGTTGATGGCATGGTAATGTCACAGACAAGCCACAAAGATGGTCCACATATAACGTAGAACATCTCTGTGGCTTGTTTGTATCGCGCCATCAATGGAACGTGTGATGGGTCGGGGTGAGCCATGACGGACCCCAGCGTTCAGTTGCGTGCCAGGAACCGGCATGGGGCAGCCCCTGGGGTCTGGGACACAGCTGCCCCCTCCCGGCTCAGTGGGACTGGGCAGGGGGCAGTCCCGGGTGCTGGATCCAGTGCCCCATCCTCAGAGACATATTGGTGTGCCAGGAGCCTGACATCAGGGAAAATCTCCCCGGGTCTCTGGCTCAGACCTTTAAAAAGCAAGTGTGATGCTGGGAGCTCCCAACTGCACACCCGGGCACCCGTGGAAGTGCCCACGGGAACAGCAGCTGGGCAGACAGGAGCTCCCCGCTGCCCGTGCAGCTCGAGTGCAGTTTGCAGGACCAGGCCTGGCCACGCCGGGCTCCCCCCATGCCAGCAGCTGGCAATGGCCCACATGGGGCGTGAGGAATTTTATGCCCCGTCCCCAAACTCGCTGACCTGCCAGCTGCGCAATTGCCTTCAGGTCTGCCGGCAGCCTCGGGCGCCTGCGTCCAGTAGACACCCAATGGGTGCAATAGGATCTGGCTCCTAGCTCAGCCCCCTGCTCTCGGCAGGATGCCTCTGGCTACACAAGTGATGCTGCGGGAGGAACCGAGCCCCCGACTGAAACGTTCACCCCTGAATGCCCGCCGCTAGGCCCTGCCACGGCTGCGGATCCCAGGGGGTGGGTTT